CAAATAATTTAAAATTTGTAGATTATTATTTCGATATCTCTATGATGATATCTTTAAAAATACTTTATTTAAACATCTCCTTAATTCCTCAATAAAATTAATATTTCAATCCGCTATTCAACGAAATTAATTATTTAATCATACTAAAGAAGCAATAAACAGAGTTAGGTGGGAAGATGCGTAGGGTTGCCACACAAACTCTCACCCCCACAATTATCGGCATGAGTCCCACTCGATATATCTCGCAATCTCTAAAGTCGAAATTATTGTAATTTAAAACTTCCTATTTCAAAATAACATGTAATTAACTAACCCTTTTTCTATATACAAGTCGGTATCCACGGTTCCGTCCTAAGATCAGTCATTATCTTGGATTGTAACTCATTTGATTATCTTATAACATCTTCTAACATTTTTTCTTAGTCATGTCTTCGAATTTGTAACTCTTTCAGATGAGAATTATTCGTATAAATGCATATACATTATAAACACCTTGACAAAAAAATTTGTAATGGAGTATATAACGGTATGATGCATGTAAACTATTTCTGAGTTTTGACTATGACTGCACGGCCATATAATACAAACAAAAAAAGAACAAAAATTCTGTATATATATGGTAAAATTTATTAATACAAAGTTACTTTTAGTTTCCTAATGAACTAATTAAGAGAAGAATTTGAATATATATATATATTTGGTCACACAAAAGGATACTTACATTATGGAAGGAAAAATCATATAAATTTTTTAAAGCATATTGGTCACACACCAGTCTAAAAAAAAGCCCTAAGTAAGACAAGAAACTACTCGAAAACATTTATTTTTCGCTGACAACTCCATTATTACCGGCTAAGATCAAGTACTTATCTCTTCTCGTGAGGTTAGTGCACTCGAACCCCAATGCATTCCCGATCTCATGCTGCACGTGATTAGCCACTTCGAACTTAGATTTTCCATCAATAGGATCTCTACACGTGGATGCTCCAGAGACAGGATCAAGCAATTGGACGGTGTATGAAGGATAAGGATCCAAGAGAAAGAAAATCGGATCAAAAGCCTTAAGCCCACTAGCCGTCGTGCCATGAAAGAAACTCACGTGTGAGTCGATAGCAATCGGCACGATGACGTCACTGACCTCCGAGAAAAGTGAACTAAACCGAAGCACGTAAGGCTCTCTACACGTAGTCCCTTCAGGACAAACCACGAGATCTCCTTGGCTCAACAATCTCTCCATGGCTTGACCATCTTGGGCTCGGTCACGAGTCAATCTAACGGTAGTGATCGGAGCTAGAATCTCAGATAATCTACTTAGACTATACGTAACAGCTTTGATGTTTTTTTCCCTTAGAGCGTAAGAAATGTAAAGTGGGTCTAATAAGGTTCTATGGTTACACACGTAGAGGCAACCTTTTTTCTTGTCGGAAGATGAAGAAATTTGGTGGTTGTGGTTGTTGACCGTGAGGGTTAGGCGGAGACCGGTGAAGGCAAGGAAAGGATAGGCTAAGGAGTAAGGGAGGTTTAGGCCAAAGACGAGTCTTGCGGCGGCTAGAGCGGCGGCAAATGGGGTCCACATGAATAATGTGAGTGTGTTTAAAGGTGTTGGCTTGATGGCTAAACGACCATCGTGGAAAACCAATGGCTTAGGGTATTGATCTCTCGGTAGAATTTGCCAACTTTTCTTGTCTGAATTTCTGACGAAGTAAATCTCCTGTTTTGAATTAAAAAAAAAAGATTAGAGAAGATTGTCAGTATCAAAAATCAAATCGGTTGAAATGGACCTATTATATGCAAAAAAAGTAATAATTTATGGTATACATAGTTTAGATTAACTAGTCATAGTCAATGGTTTGAATTAATTGCATCAGATTAATCATTCACAGTATTGTTTTTTCGTTTCCAATAGTCTATATTTTTGAATTAATTGCATCATATAAAAACAAAAAAATCAATGCATGTCTCTGCTCGTTCAAAGAGCCACATTTAAAACCAACGAGATTTCTATTGGGGACTTACATTTGTATGGTTCCCAGATATCGAAAACCCACCAAACACATAAAACGTATTTTAAAGAATTACTAAACAATATTGCCTATTGGGGACTTTAATTTATTATGGATCCCGTATACCAAAAAAACTGAATGAAAAATACCATATTAAAAACAGAAAGTATTTGAAATCTAAAAAACCGTGACATAAGGATTTGTCTTTATTTATCTCCAAAAAAATACAATTACGTCTGTTTATAATAAGACCATATATATATAGTTGAGTCTATAAGACCTCTTTTAGAATTACCAAAAATTTCCATGTAAAGAAAAACAACTAAAAAACATTTTATGTTATATATCTCGAAATATGATAAATTTACCTGGCAAAATTGAGAGAATAGCGATCGGTGACTTGGCAAATTAAAAGAAGTGATGCCAATGACATGACCACTACTTAGTTTTTCTTCTTGAACCAATTCATCAAAAGCGAACTCTTGTTTCTTATTATCCTCCATGATGCCTAAGTAGTAACCACCAATCAATTTCATCTCTCTCCCGATCACAACTTCAATCTTCAAGTAATCTCTCAAGAACCCATCAATCATAACTTGTGGCAAATCACTCACACCAACTCTCTTACCTCCTCTCTTCAAAACCTCAAACATCTCGAGCCCAACATCTTCAAGAAGATACTTAGGCAAAACCGATTTCCCTGCCCGAAAGCTTTTCCTTTTAACCCCGAAGAAGCTTAACATCACCATGGCCTTTAAGCCCATCTCGTAGCTCATCAAACATATCAACGGATAGAGAATGAAGAGTAAAAATGACCTTATTACCCCTCCGGCTTCAAAAGCTACTAGCATGAAATAAGGGAATAAAGATTTTGATTTGAGAAGAGCTCCTTCGACGTTGAAGATCAAGGTGTGGTGCGATAAGTCGTGACGTTGATGGAGACCGTGAGAAGGCCATTTTTGGAGTTTTGGTTTAGGGTTCCGATGACACCAACGCCGGAGAACAAAAAACCGGTAGAGGAAGAAGACAAGACTTTGGAGATTCGATATCTTATTACCGGACATGGTTTTGACTTTTTTTTTTTTTTTTAAAATGTAAAATGAAGTCGCTGGATTCTAGACTCTGCATGTCGAGAGAAAGTCACTGATGATGGTTCCATTTATATAATGGGATCGTGACGTAAATACCCTTGAGACGTGTTTAGTATTTACAAGGTATGCCATTGATGATGGTTCCACTTCTTCCTTACCGTACAGCTTTGCATGACCACAATTAATGATTTGAATGGTAATGTTGGATAAGTATACTCACGCGTCGACATATAGTTCGATTATTATAATTAAATCGAATAATCCGATTACAATTTAGTTTTTTTTAGGTAAAAGATTACAATTTAATTAGTAAAAGATCAAACCGACTTAGACATGATCTTCCATTCTCTAGCCGATCAATATAGTAATATACCATCCGTTTATTCTTTCTCAAAAGGTACATCTCTATTGACCCATTCAAAAACATTTCATCATCATATCACAAATAATTGGGTATATCAATTGACAGAAAAAGTTGACGACAAAAAAAAAAAATCAATTAACTGAAAAAGAAGCATGCTTAATTTTACAAGTTCATGTTATGAGGTTTATTTTATTAGTTATGTTTTTAAACAGTTTTCCTGTATTATTTCTTTGTCTTGTATAAATGCGTGGAGAAAAATCTAATGGCAAGAGTATGAATCAAATTTTATGTCTAAGCTAATAATAATTCGCAATCATACAAGTCCTTTGGGTTTAGACTTATAGTATGTTCAATTTCCTATCACTCGGCTGCTGAGATAGAGGCATAGAGCCACTTGATTAACGATATTCATCATTTTTTTTCAAAAATAAGAGATGGTAATTGTTC